AATTTTAAAATAGTATACATAATCTAAACATTTGTACTCCCATAATATGCTGAAATTAAAAAATAAATAAAAAGAGTATGAGAGTGCTGGTGGTTGCTTTTGAAACATTTTATTGTTGCTCATTAGTGACAGGGTAGTCATTAGTGATGGTGCTGGAAGGGAGGTGGGCCACTTTAATCACAGCTCTCCAATTCTGTAGACATAGCCTAATGATTGCCTTACAATGCTCACAGCATTTCTTGCTAATATTAGGCACACAGACTCAGAAAGAACTTATGGAGCAAGGAAATCCTAGTCAAATTATCCAATGTCTTTTACTGTCTATTTTCACACTTTCTTCCTAAAAGAAAATTGTTGTAAGTGACAAGCCAGCTAATATCACTTAGTAGTGATAACGCATTAGATATAAAGACCAGATCTCCATTTTATTTGCTAACTTTTAGAAGAATTAAAAGTTGTAGTTTCATTAAAAATGGAATGCAACTTTCAAATATATTTTTAGTTTTTTATAGTAGAACATAATATGAAAACTTTTTCCAGTATATTATTTCATTGCCTTCATTTTCTACATGTTGGTTTATCAGTAATATAACATAATCTTATTTGTCAATTAATAATTACATGGATTTTTTTATATCCTCATGGTGTTTTCTTGATTTGTTTTAGCCACATAGACAACAGGTGGAAGAGGAAATCTGTGAGGTTATCTGTAAGAGCAATTGCTATGTATTCACATCACAACTCTATTACTTTCAAAAGAAGTTACTGAACTTCTCTAGCCTTCAGTTTTCTTACCTGAAAACTAAGAATAGTAAAAATACTTTTCATAGAGGGTTTTTAGAAGATGAAATAAACTGATGTACGTAAAGTGGTCTGCACAGTTTTGATACATAGCAAGTACTCACTAAATGTTCATTAGTATTAACATGAGGATTAATTTTAGTTTTAACATACATCATTCAGGAAGTGAATGGGAGAATTATAGCTTTGGTCATTGTTATCTGTATTATAAACTTACATTGCATGCACAGCAATATATATCATTAAATTCCTAAACACAGAACACAAGCAAAAATATCAGTTTCTATAGATAATGGCTGAGCCATCTTTATGACATTATTTTTAGACTGACCATACAAAAGCATTTTTTAATTTCAAAAGTTTGACAAGGAGAGTAATTTTAACAAAACTCTTTATTTTAGGTGTTTAAAACATCTTACGTGTTTTGACAATGCAATTGTTTTGTTCCCTTCTTTTATATTTCCTTTTGCAGATAATTTGTCTCTTATTTAAAGCTCTTTGCTCTTCTAAAAGCTATTAAACTCTAATCATTCTTGTCATGACTTTAGGATTCTCTTAGGTTAAAATGATTTCTCATTTGCTGACTTCCATAGTCCTCTTGCCCTAATCAAATCAATCACTATATGCCTCTCTTCTGTCCTTCCCCTCATCTAGCTCAAAGGTCCAATACAAACTCTTTTTCCCACTAATACCTTCTTACCAGTTAACCAGCTTGGTCTATGATCTGCTAGATTCATAGTATTCTAAATTTATGGAGAGAAAAAAGAAGTGGCATAACATGCTGAGTACATTATGGATATTACCAGAGTCTTCAAGAATAACCACATATATTCCATATTTAACATACTTAGACCAGGAATTAGGAAAAGTATCATTAGAAATTCTTAATTTATCTATGTTCATCCACTGGAAAAATTAATAGTGGTAACATGTATCTTGTGAAAGAAAGAATTTTTATACACCTAGAATGTGCCTCCAATAGAGCTAATGATAAAACTGTAAAATCCTATGTAGCTTTCTAGCATTCTTGTCATATATTAATAAATAAAAAATCTTGTCCTCATAGCAGTTCAGGTCCTTTGGCAAAGTAGCTATAACAGATATTGGCTAAAAGCTCACTAATTCCATTTACTCTTCCTAAAATTAATTTGGGAACAAATTCTGTTTAATGGGATACGGTCGAAGTAACATACATAATTTCCAGTCCTGGCCATAAAACCCTATGGGTTGATTGACCACATTATCTCTTCTTTTCTTGCAGTGGCCTTAGGCAGCCATGTGTATAAAATGATAATTTCACAAAATTGGAAAAGCCTGGATCCCCAAATGAGCATTTGGGGGAGAGCTCCTAAGAAGGGCTCATCAATGTCCACTGGACAATGACATAACCAAGAAATTTGTCTTTGTTGCATTCAGCTATTGAGACTTCAGGGTAGCTTAGCATAGTATAACTTGACTAATTTAGAAATGGAAGCAATTTTATATGAGAAAACTATATGGCTTTCTTCTTAGATAACATAACAATTTGAGATTCACTTATTTAGCAAGAGACCTTTTCTACCAGATAAAGAAATCTATAGAGGGTTTTGATCAAGTATTCAATTTGATTAACTTCCTACCATGTTACATCTCTGCTTAAAATCCCCTAAAGGGTACCCATTGTTTAATATTTAAGGTCTTTCCCAGATGATCCATAAATACCAAGTTTGAAAGGATTAAATGCATATAAAGCACTATACATGGTGTTTGATAAAACAGTCATTAAACAAACTTTATTTCCTTTCCCTTTTCTCTTTCTTTTATCCTGCGAAATTCTAGACTATTAAGCAGACAGATATTTGATGAAGTTTTGGGGGAAAGGGGAGGAAAAAGAAAAGGAAGAGAAAGAAGGAAAGAATGAGTTAGACTGGAGGTCAAAGAATAGGAGGAGAAAGTGAGAGCACTCCTTATTCCTATCTGATCCTTGTACCCACCCCATACTTCTCAATTCAGAATCCTCAAATAAAGTAAGAAGGAGTAGACCTGTTACTTTTCCTAGGAAGGAATTAAGCCCCAATAGTTGACTTCATGCTACTTCATAAGCATGTACATCAACTTTGAAGTGCTCTTAAAAGAAGTAATTTTGTTCATTATTGAATGTGATATTTAACACTGATGTGTTAAAATTGTTTTGTATTAAAAAAGCTACATTTTTAAAAAAGATGGTACAATATGAAAACCAGCCCACTATATCCAGATTATTAAACAAAATTTAATTTTAAGATTGATATTAGCCATTAATTTTCCTTTAATCTATATTTTGACTCAAAATTCTCCTATTGATTTCAGCTTAAATGTGATTTTTCTTTAATACATTTACACTAAAAATCATCAAATTATAATCCATGGTATAATTTTACCCAGTGTAACCAGTACTTTAAGAAGATATCTTTGGTACTAACCTTGGTTTCTGTGATTTTCTCTTGGACTGCATCCATTTTGTAGGGACCCTCCTTCCATGACTCAAGCTTGGCTCTGGCCTGTCCTAAGACCTGTTCAGCTTCTTCCTTAGCTTCCAGCCATTGTGTTGAATCCTTTAACATTTCATTCAACTGTTGCCTCCGGTTCTGAAGGTATTCCTGTACTTCATCCCACTGATTTTGAATTATTTCAACTGGAATAAAAGGAAAATGAATATATAGTAGTAAATGCTAGTCTGGATAAGACATTTGAAATTTAACATCTAAACATTATCTCACATTTATATTACTCATTTAAAAATTGGTCATTGTGTTATGGCTGGGATGATGATCAATAGGATTTATTACATTTTTCGATGGCAAACATTAGTTTCTATTAAATTATCTTCCTGAAGGTGAAACAGAACATCAGCATATATGTAAAACTTTAACTCTATTCTCAATTTCTGGAAGCAAATATGAATCATCTTTTAGAAAGGTACTATAGCGGAATGCCCACATCGCCTTGCTCTTACCACTTCAGCGCCCATCAGCCTGATTTCTAGTGCCAGCACAGACATTTCAGTGTCTGAAGGCTTTATTTTGCCACAAGAGTTTGCTTTGCCATCGAAGTGGCAGGCTAGACACCAGACAATTGATGCCTCCCCACCCTCTAGAAGTAGCCTGTAAATAATGACTGATGGCAGGAATTGAGTTATGGATACTCTAGCTCCCTTGATGGTAGGGGAGATAACTCTGAAGCACGTGTTTCACATGGGTTCCAGAGTTTCCCTGATGGGATAAAGCTTCAGTGCCCACAGCAGTAGTGTGCTTGATAATGCACCATCCTTTCTTTATTGGCTGCCTTGCCTTACTTGTCTCACTTAACCACTCCTACTCCTTTACATCTGAAATAAATCTCTTGCTTTCAAAACCTTTTCTTTTCTTTTTTTTGGCGACAGAGTCTCTGTTTCCCAGGCTAGAGTGCTGTGGCATGAGCCTAGTTCACGGACACCTCAAACTCCTGGGCTCAAGCAATCCTTCTGCCTCAGCCTCCCGAGTAGCTGGGACTACAGGCATGCGCCACCATGCCCGGCTAATTTTTTCTATATATTTTTAGTTGTCCAGCTAATTTCTTTCTATTTATTTTTTAGAAGAGACAGGGTCTCACTCTTGCTCAGGCTGGTCTCGAACTCCTGAGCTCAAACGATCCACCCACCTCGGCCTCCCAGCGTGCTAGGATTACAGGCATGAGCTACCACACCTGGCCACAAAACCTTTTCTAAGGGTCTTCTTCTGAAGGAACCCAAGAACAGATAGGTATACTAGAAATTTCTTTTAATAATATCTGAGAATTCATGCTGGATACATTCTATAAGACTGGCTTATGTTCAGGCTATTTTTGCTATCATTGTGATCTAAGACGGAGATGCTATATAGTTATTGCTCTGAAATACTTTATTTTAGACTATTAACAATAAACAGGACTACATTATTTTTTCTAAAGAACTTCTTTAAGCTGGTTTCATGAAATGAAAATAATATAGATAATAAGTAATAAAACCAGTATCCACTTTATCCCATAAGCATGAAACCTGACAGATATTCTTGATTCTTCCCTAAGCCTCATCCAACACCATATATAATTATTTACAAACTTCTCTCATATACGACTTCTTCCCTCTTTCTATTGCAACTGCAAAGCTTTATCAGTTTTTGCCTTCATGTCTGCAAGAGACTTTATATCATCCTCCTGCCCCAAGTCTCTATTTTGAAATATAAATTCTACACTGTAGAAAGATTAATAACTATAGTGTAAATCTGATCACCCCACTCCCTCATTTAAAACATGTCCATGTCTCCCCACTGTCTTCTGGAATATCTTAGCTTGACATACATGTTCCCCTGTAATCTCGCCTGGATAATCTGGGAGGTTTATGTGTAACAGAACAAATCAGGGTATAAGAAAACCACTACAAATAATACGAGAACGTTACTGCAGTGGAGCTGTTACTACATCTAGGCCCAAGAGATGAAGGGAAGGAGAAGTGGCCAGAAGCAGGTAATCATAATGAGAAACCACCTTGAGAATAGCAGTAATCTTTTGTCATGGGACACAGTCAGCCTGTGGCAATCTCACAGGGAGGGAATTAGGAGAATAAATATCCTGACTTCCCTTTATCCCCCTTTTCCAATTTTCTACTAGGGTCCCAAGTGCCCCCCAAAAAAGTGAAAGCCAGAGGGCATGGGAGCCTAATGATGATACATGTCAGCCTCCCAGAATAAAGAGCAGAGTGGAGAAGGGCAAAGACTGGCTACTGACGGACAAAAAAAAGTCTACAGTACAGTAAGGTAAAACTATGTTTCTTATTTTATTACGTAAGTCCTTTGTAATTAACCCTGTTGCCTTCATAAAGTTATGAGAAATTATGAGTTACAGAAGTACTTGAGATGTTTTGAATACATATCAGGACTAGATTGACCCTACAAAACTAGTGATTGTGTCATGCAATCAAGAATCTGGTCCCCAGAATAGGTAAAACTGAGTGTCACTCATTATAGACTAGTGTTTTATCGGCCTTATTTTGGTTTGGGCATTTGCTACGCATTTCAAAACCAGTCAACATATTATATTCCAACTTCGGTTAACATGTCAATCTTTTTTTAAATGTCAGTCTCTCTCTAATCTTTGAGCACCATTGTTTAGTTTGTCTCATCGTTTTTGCTCCACTGGCTAGTGAAACACCTATTATACTTGAGGCTTTATACTTATTGATTAATCTTCTATTTAATCCTTGGTTTATAAAATTAATAGTGTCAAGCTGGGTGCTGTGGTTCACGCATGTAATCCTAGCACTTTGGGATGCTGAGGTGGGAGGATCACTTGAGGCCAGGAGTTCTAGATCAGCCTGAGCAAGAGTGAGACCCCATCTCTACAAAAAATAGAAGAATTAGCCAGGCGTGATGGCCCACACCTATAGTTCAGCTACTTGGGAGGCTGAGGCAGGAAGATCGCTTGAGCCCAGGAGTTTGAGGTTGCAGTGAGCTGTGATGACCCCACTGCATTCTAGCCTGGGCAATAGAGCAAGACCCATTCTAGCCCATTCTAGCCTGGGCAACAGAGCAAGACCTTGTCTCCAAAAAAAAAAAAAAAAAATTGTGTAAATGCTATTATAAGAAAGGTATTTAAAATATAAATAAAATGTCTTTAAGTGTTCCAAAATATTCTTCCGTTGATCATAGAAACAGCTGGTATTCTAGTTATGAAGTGTTTTTCAACTTATCATGGCAGGGTACTTTAGTTAACATACTTGGCACTTTTTTCTCATAGCTCCTATTGTTATTAGTATATGTATTTGAAAATAATAAAGTTGGCTTTCCTTAAAAATAGTCACTGGTTCCAATTTGTCTTTGCCATAATTAACTTTAATTAGTGACATTTTTCCTTTGCCGTAATTAACCTTAATTAGTGACATTTTACTATGCTAGCGTTTTTTTTTAGAATGCCTCATGGTTTTCACATAAACATGGCAAGCTGTTAAGATTCATGCCAGTAAATATTTTGTACATCCCATGGTTTATTTCTATAGGGTAGATAGAGTTTATATTTTTAAAATTCATCTCTAGATATTAGGAAGAAGTAAAGCAGTTCTTCCTATTATGGGGGCAGATATTTTTAATTATGGAAAAAAGAGGGAATGCTTATAGCCTGGACCATTATTTCGGAGAAAAATACCATTTGAATGCTTGGTCAATCACAGCAATGGAAGGTTTTCAGCCAAAAGTGGTCATATATGTGTAATGTAGCAAGTTAAAAGGGTTCACTGGGGTGTGCATGCCACTGAGGGTGTGCTTTCTCACCTGTGATCTTCAACTGTACATTATCATTATATACTACTTAACTATTAATAAACAAATTTCAGGCTACCGACTCACTTAACAATCCATCTACTCCTCCATGCATCCCTATCCCTCTGTCCATCCATCTAGCCAGTCAGTCACCATTTTATTTACCATCTGCTAGACACCAGGCATTATGCTAAGTACTGAGGAAACATAGGAGTGTAAGACAGATTCTTTGGCTTCTGGTTTGGGTGCCTGTTAGATGATGGTGTTATTCACTATCTATCCAAAGAATACAGGATGAGCATGGAGAAGATAATGAGTTCAATTTTGGACCTATTCAGTGGGAGGTTTTGAGGATCATCCAAATAGAACTATCATTTTAGTCAGTTGGACTGAAGTGTCTATAGCATAGCTGTGTATTTTGGGAGAGACAGAAATCTGGGATTGGCAATCACTACAGGGAAGTAAAAACTGAAGCCACAAATGTGAATGCATTCTCATTAGTATGGCATATAGATTGAGCAGAACAGGGGTTGTGGATGGAGTTCTGGAAGATACAACATAAAAAGACTGAATAAAACAAAAGGGGCCAATAAGATGAATGAAAGGCTAGAGAGGTAGGAATATCAGGAAAGTATACTTTCATAAAATATGGAAAAGAAAGATTTTCAAAAAAATGAGTGGTTAACACTTTTAAATGCCATAGATGTCACAAGATATATTAATAAAAATCATAATAACTAACATTTATTTGAATACCTATACTGTTTGAAGCACTGTTTAAAGTTTTACATGTATTAATTCATTTAATCACCATAATAATCTTATAAGTATCACTATTTTTATTGCTGTTGTATTGCTATATTGTTGCTATTATCCTCATTTAGCAGATGAGAGAACAAAGACTGTGTTAAAGAACTGACCTAAGGTCATATAGATAGTGATTGACAAAGTCAGTACTTGGACCCAAAGGGTCAGACCCCCACAAAGCCCATGCCTAAAATATCCAGTGGCTTTGGCCACATGGAATTCCCTGAAGATCACACAGAAAATAATTTCAGTGGAGTGATAGAAATCTTACTGTAGGGGATTGGCAAATAAATCTCTATGAAGAAGATAGTAAGTTTTAGACTTTCCATCTATAGCTCTTTATAAGAAGGGAGTGGGGGGAGTCTGGGGTCAAAGGAAGTGTTTTTCCAAAATATGGAAAACTTGACTATGAATATAGGCTTGAGGAAGAAAAAATGGTCCAAAGGGTAAGGATAATGCCAATTGGAGGAGAGTCCCTAAGAAGGTGAGTATACTGAACATTAATTAACTGCTCCCTTCTCCAGCATTCCCCCTTTTATTTTTCCATCTGGGTAGTTTC